TTATGTTTCCTAGATCGCTAAATTGATCCACGCTCAAATATCATATTCCGCTAACATAGAGACAACTTTTGTTCTACCACAAATATCAAGTTATCTGCAATTCCGTCTTATTCTTTTCTTGGCCATCGATGTTTAATGGATTGAGTATAATTTACTGTTGTCAGTTCCAAAGAGAGTGGATCGTATTAGAAAGGCTCAGTCGTTTCCGTTTTTAGATCCGTAACATCATGGGCCGAACTGAACCCCAATCACAAGACACAACAACAATATAGGGTAATTATAATGTAACTACAAGTAAGCATATTCATAAGGTACAATTCAATATATCTTACCGGAATTTACACATTTTTAGTTATCTTATTGAATGAATATAAACCCCGGTATATTAGGAAACAAAAATAGTGTCAATTAAGTAGAGTGGAAACATAGTGATGATATGGTGGACAAGGTAGTATTATGAACAGATAAATGAACGAAAACGTTAGTTACAAACATGGCCTCGTATGGTGTTTTTATAAACTAAAGATTCCTTTGTACTTGTTCACTGCTTGATTTAGAATTCCAAACAAAATATGTTTATTCGTGCTCATCTAATACTTCTTGATTAGATGGAGTTATTCCTGGGATTCCTAGTTCGTACCATAATTCAAACACTCATTGGCGTCGCGATGGAATGGTTGGACATACATTCAGATTTTGATGCTTTTGAGGATTTGTGGTGTTCGTTATAGATCTTCTAGGCCTGATGACTTTCCGAGATCCGTAGCTCTGGACAGACCTCTGCTTCACTGGGTGGACCTAAAGTTACTAGTCACAGAGCACATGGCAAGATAAAATAAAACAGCTTCCGACAAGGTTCGGATGTATCTATTGCTTTCAAATCGTTTGTATGCTAAGGACTTCAGGTTACTCACCTCTTACCCAAACGTTGTAACAGGTTCTAAGCTATGAATTTACATGTCATCAAACTTGTGATTCGCCAGAACAGACCGATGGATCTGCAAAACCCGTGCTTAGAGGGCGGGAAGTCTCGCAGAGCCGCAACTTCTATGGTGTCACCCAAACACAGCCATTTCTCTACACTTTCCGGTAGGATAGCAGCTAACCTTGAACCCAACTCGACTTGGTCGTAACAGAAGGTACAACCAGTCTGCCTGTGTCAATCTGTCAAAGACCACCAAACCTATCTGTTGTCTGGTCTGCATCAAAGTGGAAACATTGAGGGTGATAAAACGTACCGTGTTAGTGCAATTATAGAAAATGCCCCAGTTCCTAAATGGAACTTTGTATATTTTTAGATTCTTCTACTATTGTGGGATTTCACCGTCAAAATACTATTTCATAGGTTATTCATAACAGAATTATAGCACGGGAATGAAAACTTTAAACACTAGATCCCTATGTTTAGAATGTTAAGTGTTGGGCAATAAATTATTCTGACTATTAAGTCATGTATTTGTTTATTTGTCATACAATTATTTCAAATTTCATTGTTATTGATAAAACTAAGCATAAGAAACCACGTTTTATCCTTAATTCTATAACGTAATATTGCCACTGTATTAAGTCCCGATCGAAGCTGCTACCTTGACGCGGTGGTCGGGCTTGCCTATCGTGATGACCCAACCGAGCTATATTGGCTGGAACATATGTTCCTGCAGGTTCTACCATGCCGGGCAGGTCGATTGGTGAACGGTAAGACTAAAAGCAGCAACTCAAGGTCTGAGGGCGAAGTCGTACTGCTGACTGTAGAGGGGTGTGACAGCAGTAAGGTGTTTCCCTCGGACATCCAGCATGACAGCGATGCTGCCTTCCCACAAGGAGAGGTAGGGTTAGAAAAGGTCGACCCTAAAAATTTCACACCTCACCTTACCTCACGGATTTCCGTCTCCGGCGGTAAGGCCCTTTGAAGAACGGAGCTAACACATTAAAAACCTTCCACAAAAAGGCCGTGCGCGACCGGCCTCAAGCAGTTGTCCCTCGGGCTCTGCGGTCACGCTCCCAGGTCGTCAAGACCAACACTAATCCAATTTCCTTTTCAGGTTCCTCAAGAAATACCCTTCCACGGTGTGGGCAGCCGAGAAGTGACATCAGCCCTCATACCCGTAACAGCACAAGAAACCAAGTTGGTCACATTCAAATCCTTCCTACACCTTCTAATACCTCTCTTATCTTCCCGACTAACCCTCCCGACGTCTCTCTATCACGTCGCACCGCAAGGGAAAACGATTCGAGTACGTGGAACGCCATTCCTGGTCTCCTGAAACCACGCTCTAAACTACACGTAGGAGCTTTTAAAGTCCGAACACTTTGCCAAATAGGACAGCAGGCTTCCTTAGCTAAAACATTAGAATCTCGCGCCATCGATGTGTGCTGCGTCTCCGAAACGCGCATACAGGATCCGAGTAGCGTCATTCATTTGACCTCACCATGCCAAAATAAAGAACCGACTCGATTTACGCTTCGTGTATCTGGAAGCCCTGATTCTGCTTCCCGTGGCCTCGCCGGCGTAGGTACAGCATTGAGTTCTAGGGCAGAACTAGCTCTCTTAGAGTGGATCCCAGTAGACAGTCGTTTGTGCGCTGTCCGACTGAACGGAACAGTAAGAATCCGGAAAGATAGGGACACTCGTCGTTGCCTCTTCGTCCTCTCTGCCTATTCTCCCACTGACTGCAGCTCAGATGATGTAAAATATGAGTTTTACAGAAAGTTCTCCGACCTTCTCCGAAAAGCTAAGCGCTCGGATGTAGTAATACTGGCCGGTGACTTTAATGCTCAAGTAGGTAAACTAAGCGATAAGGAAAGACACCTAGGTGGATCTTATAGCATCGTGGCTCAAAGAACAGATAATGGCGACCGTCTGTTGCAGCTATGCTCAGATAACCGCCTGTTCCTTGCAAATAATAACTTTAAACATAAGGAAAAACATCTTTTAACATGGCGACAACCTAATTCGTCCCAACGTTGGACCCAAATAGATCACATCGCTATCAGCCACCGATGGAGGGGCTCGATAGAAGACTGTCGCTCATTCTGGAGCACATGCCTAAATTCAGATCATGCTCTAGTACGAGCGCGTATTTGCTTGCGTCTTACTGGACGTAGGAAAGACGCTTCAAGGAAACCTCTTAGGGGCCTACTTAATGATAGTCAAGCTGAGAGTATATTTCAGGAACAACTAGGAAAACAGTCAGGCAGTCATGTATGTGATGCCCACCCCGATACAGCATGGAATTATATCCGAAAAGCTGTGGAAACAGCAGTGATATCTGCTAGTAAGGTAAACCAGAAGGTTAGGCAGCAACACTGGATCTCAGCAGCATTTATCTCACTGATAGATGCTCGGAAACTCATTCCACCTGACTTTAGGCCCTCCATCCCTTTACGAATTTGAAAAAACCATAGGAAATCTGAAAAGAGGGAGAGCAGCAGGCCCCGACAGGTTTACTTCTGAGATTTTTAAGGATGGTGGTCCAGTATTAGCAATGAGATTAACCGAGATCTTAGGTAGAATTTGGGAACTGGACGTAATCCCATCTGACTGGTCTCAATCACTGATTGTGCCAGTCTATAAGAAAGGACAAAAGTCCTCTTGTGACAATCACAGAGGAATCAGTTTGTCTAATATAGTGTCTAAAATATTAGCTTCAATAATAATTCGACGCCTAATCAAAGCTCGTGAAGAGCAGATTAGAGAAAACCAGGCCGGTTTTCGACCTGGACGTGGTTGTATAGACCATATATTCACACTACGTCAGGTTCTAGAACACAGACACACATTCAGACGCCCCACAATCGTAGTATTTCTCGACCTTAATGCGGCATTCAACTCTGTTGATCGTGAGGTTCTATGGCAGTGTTTGTCACTGAAAGGAGTACCAAAGAAGTACATTAACCTTGTAAAGGCTCTCTACTCGAACACAACTAGTCGAGTAAGAGCTTATGGAAAACTGTCATCAGAATTATGTCAAGTGGTGTTCGTCAGGGCTGTCCACTCTCTCCATTCTTGTTCAACTTTGTGGTCGACGTACTTTTAGAGATAACACTCTCCTTATCTAAATTTCCAGGGGTTGAACTTGTACCGGGAGGTTCACTTGTTGACTTAGAATATGTAGATGACATAGTTTTATTTGATGAAGACGCTGACAAAATGCAGAGTCTTCTGACCACTCTAAGCAACAATGCAAGCATGTTCAGGATGCGATTCTCTACCTCGAAATGTAAAATGTTGTTTCAGGATTGAGTTACATCGACACCTGAACTAGTGATAGTGAGTGACGTAATTGAGCGTGTCGACCGATCCACTTATCTTGGAAGTCTCATCAGCCCTTGTGGTCTGGTGTGTGACGAAATCTCAGCACGGATACAGAAGGCTCGACTAGCTTTTGCCAACTTGCGTCATTTATGGCGTAGGCAAGATATCCGTCTATCAACCAAAGGACGTGTTTACTGCGCAGCAGTTCGTTCCGTCCTACTTTATGGCAGTGAAACATGGCCGGTAAGAGTAGAGGATATCCGTAGGCTACTAGTATTTGATCATAGGTGTCTTCGAAACATTGCTCGTACATCATGGGACCATCGAGTAAGTAACACAGTTGTTAGGAAACGGGTACTAGGTAAGGATGGCAAATCACTTGATGAAGTAGTGAAACTTCATCAGTTGAGATGGCTGGGACATGTGTTACGTATGCCCAACGACCGACTACCTCGACGTGCTATGTTCAGTGGTATAGGAGTAGGTTGGAAGAAAGCTAGGGGCGGCCAAACCAAAACATGGCACAAGTCCATGAAGTCACTGACAAGTGAACTGAGTCATGTTGGTAGGTGTAGACTACCTGGTTGGGGACTGCGAGATGATAGCAACCGATGGTTAGAGACCCTGAATGACATGGCTCAAACCGTTTGCAATGGCGCAGGTGCATCCACTCTCTGTGTTCTCCCAAAATCTAATCCTCTGAATTCTTCATGTCCCTTTCTTTTTTCTCTTATCAAATTTATTTCACTGGATTATACTCCTTGAATAATATCTTCAAACCCTAATCTTCCCGATTACTGCTTATACTCTTATTACCTCTACCACTACAGGATTTGAATCGACAACTGCATCTCTGTGCTAATGTGGTGTGGCAACTCGAACTGATGTACGTACGTACGAAGTTCTACGTTGTTACTGACTGACTGTATTAAGTCATTTTTAACACTCAGTATTATTTGTTAAAAACAAGGGATAAGTAACAATTATTTATCGATTCACTAATTTATAACGAAACATTGTGATTTCATTATAGTAAAGGGTGAATAATTTTAACCGAATAAATTCAATAGATAAATCTTGGCTATATCTTTGCGAAGATACCATGGATGGTTGATACGTAAATTTGACAACGAATTTCGTCAAACAGAAAGTTGAAGGCACAGTTCATGATAAATTAATTAAGTAAGGAGAGAAATTATAGACTTGGGTAGGAAAATAGTCAGATACAAAGCTAGAAGAATAAAAAAAGTGAATGTACATGGACATCTGTACACGTTATTCGCATGATTACAATACTTGCGTTGTAGAACTCTGGCTAATGTACACAACAGCACCAACTACATTTATAAAACCAGCTAGTATGAATACAGGAAACCACCTTCCACCAGATGTGATAACTAATTCGGCAGTCAGTGGACCACATACTATTCCAGGTATAGTAGCCTATATATAGTAGAAAATGCAATGAACGATAAGGCAATATAAAAACTAGCTATATTAAATACTATTTCCAAGCCTTATTTGCTACTACATTTAAATTAGAATCACCTTATCTAGAATTTAGACCAGTGTTTCGAGATAATATACAGCTCAGATAGTAAAAAGCACGCTACAAGTGGTCACTAGAAGTAACATAGGAAAGTGTGGTTGGAAATGCAACAGAGGAAATAATTAACAAGTAGAAGTGAATGGGTTAACGCCGAAACAGCGGTAGTGAATCACTTCACTGAAAAACTTTAATCACAGATTAACTGTGATAACATTCTTCAAAATTCACAAAATCAAAAAAAAATAATAGTTTATTGAAATTATGTCTGAAACATGAGTTGGCTACGCACCTACGTCTTCACGTTGATGCCTAAGTGTGTATTAATTATCACATGGACAAATTCAGCCCGGAATTTACGCAATAAGAATGTGAGTAAACAGAACAACTAAACAGATTCGCACATTAACGCAAAAATTACTGTGGAAAGAAAACCTGAGTTGTAGTCAGATACTGTGATTTAACGACAATCAATAGAATTAATCCTTCCCATCTACTTCGAATACTCACAAAGTTTCAATCGTGAAACTGTATTTACTTACGCTATTACTAATTGCAGTGGCAGAGAAATATTAAATAATAAACCAAAACCTCATCTCACCTTTCTTCACAAAACAGTCATATGTGGCACTGAGTACTTTTGACCACCAGTTCAGACCATTAGACTCAATGACTTCCTGTATGTCATTTCATGATTTAAGTGTACAAAATATTAAATCCTTGGGATATTCGTTCACCCATTCTATCCTCTTTATTTTTTATTTTTAATCGGTTTAGTGGTATCAATTTTCACAAAAAATGAAAGGTGGATGTTTTATTTAACTTCATTTCGTACAACGATATGAGTTTATTTCAAGACCGTAGAGGAATTTTTACTGAGGGTGAATAATAATCTCTCTGAGAATGATATAAAGAAAAATTCATTGGAGGATGATCACACAACAACTACAACTTTACTAATAGCATCGATTTTCAGGAGGACGACACGAATATATGATTTAAACATTCTATTCTCACGATCCATTGTAGCGGGAGTTACACCAAAGCATGTAGAAAACTGTTTACGTTACTTCTTAGAAACCGACTACATGAGAATTATTTATAACCCAAAACTAATCAAATTTGCATAATATGAAGTCAACAGGTGCTCAGGATACAATACTTCTGTTGATCTATTTCTACTTGAGTATGAACACTAACTAATTATAAACTAAATATGCAAGAAACAACAGCTTTCAATTTCACAGCTTCTAAAAAAATAACTTTGAGACTCTATTACCAAAGCACGTAGGTGGGCTTTATATCTTTTCTAAAAGCATTTACATAAAATACAACCCACTAACCTTGAAATTTTTAAGCACATCTTTTGCTAAGATAGTATGAGATTAATATGCCTGAACAAATTAACGGAGAAACGTTTAATCGATCCATTACACACGATTGTAACAGTATTAGTTATTGATGAAAGAGTCAACGATCCAATAAGCGTAGTAAAATATCCCTCAATTATGAAGCACCATTACGTTAACATTTAAGAGGAACGGAATGAACTGATCTCTGTTTATTTAATAATGAGTGAGAATGTTGATAATCAATACAGACAGCAGTAAAAAACCAATCATCATTTTTACTCAAGCTTTACTAGCCCGATATTTATAGTTTAAATTTCTTGTGCTTTTTCGATTATTTTAAACCGTAGTACTGATTTTTCATGTTGATAGGCTAAATCTCACTGCAATTAACGATAAACTTTGATGGCCAACATAGGAGATACCAAAAACATACACCAGTATTAAATAGATAAATCTGAATCAGTTTCCAATAAAACAAAATAAAAGCTAATGATACTCACCAAAATATTGCTTATGATAAATGTGGTGCCTGCATGATTAGGTGCAACCTCTACATGATTACATAAATGTCCAGCAGAATTGAAGGCGGAAAATGTCATAGACACAGAAATCAGGCTAAATCAGATGAATTGAATCAAAGTAAAAGATCGAAAAAAGAATATAATACACTCATAATATTTTGATACTGACAGCAATATCGTGAATGCCATATGATAAACGATAATTTTATAAACTTTTCAGGTATATTTACAGCTGATGTTAGTGGTAAAACTACAGAAAATAAATTCTATTAGATGAGTTCTGTTGGAAAGTCAACAAGAAAACACTATTTCATGACAAGTAATCAAATCATCTTATAATAATATGTATTTTTATAAGATGTGATAATGAAACTTACCTCACTTAGGAATACATAATTCAGTGATGGTTTACAGCAAGCATACTAAGTGGGATTCACAGTTATTACACACATTTGGATCTAATTTACTGAGCTAATTTTTATTTACGTTAAGGACTGAATAAAAGATAAGTCATTTTACCATGAACTCGCAAAAACTGAAATTTCTTTACAGGAAGGCTTCCAAGTGTTTTTTTAAAATCTACATTTATGTTCGAGCTTATTAACAGTATCAATTTCTAAATATTTAACATTGACGAACAATACTGACTAAAGAAATACAAAACAATTTTTCATGATATGTAAAAATTTGAACAATTGGAAAATATAGCAAAAGAATGTTGTACAAATCATAAGGCTACAGACGGATTTAAAAGACTTCTGTACCAACATTTTGCAGTTTACACTCAGTGAAATAATAATCAAAATCTAGAAGTAATTACTCATAAATGATAGGGAATACCAACTGACAACACAAAAATAATTCATAGGAACGCTATATGAGAATATTCATTCAATTTAGTCCCGTAAAAAAGTCAACACCTGATAATATTTTATGTTTATCGAAGAAAATCTCAGTATCATGCTACGTTTTTTTAAGGCAAAAGGGAAAAACTAATTTCTGTTTACATGAATGATACATATTGTACACAGGAATATACAGACAAGCATACCCATGAAGTACTGTAGATTTACCTTATTTTTTTTATCGTTGTATCAAATTCACATATTCCGATGAAAACTAAATGACTGTAGGGTTACGCATATGTGATTGCATGTTAGTGTCAGAATTGTAATAAAATTTCTCCATCATGGAGTCTTTCGGATCAGATGTTTTAACTATAATGTCATCACGCTTCATTACAACCTCATGAACGACGATTTTCCTATAAATACAAATAACCCATTCCGCCCAGCTTGAATTTGACTGGTCATCTTCACTTTTTGAATGAAACACACTTCATTGGCTTCTACATAGATTAAATCTCAATTAAAAACCTGGTGTCCAGAGTATCGCATTGCAAAAATTCGCTTATTTCCCATAATGCATTTGGACACAAGTTACGCCATACTTGAAGAATTTGCATTTCCCCTTGGATAATTGCAGAAAATAACATCATTGCTAAGTTTCACCAAGTGCTACTCGAAAATGAATGTTAACGTCCCCTTCAAAAAAGAACAACGTTATAGCTATTAGTGGATAATCGCCATCAACCTTAAGAAAATATTCAGGCTACCTATAAAGGAGCCATAAAGGATTATGAAGTGAAGAATTGATTTTGAAAGTGACTTATTCGGACAAGTAGTTTGGAGTGTCGCAGTGAAAATGAATTCCATTGACACTTTGATAAGAGTTCAGTCAGTCAGCTACAACGTAGGACCAGGCACATATATGCATCGGTCCAAGTTGCCATACCTCATTTACACAACAAGATGGACACCGGATTCATAAAAGTAGTTAATTCAAAGGTGGTAATATATAAAAGAAAGATTGCAATAAGGATATAGTACAGGAAGAAAGAATTAGTTCGTAGAAAGAAAGATATTAAGCGATTTTAATCTCTTAGTTTAAGAGAAGACAGAGAGTGTATACACCGACGCCATTGTAATCGATTCTGAGCCATGTCACCAACAGTCTCCAACTATTGGTTACGATAGTCACGCGGACCCCAACCAAGTAGTCTGCAACTGCCAACATGGCTCAGACAAGAGGACACAGAGATCGTTTGATAGTCAACAGATTACGCCAACTTTAGAAGCAGAGGCAAAATGAAATGCATAGATGAATAGCGAAAACTGCCCTGAAAGGTAATACGATGTGGTCAAAGAATATAAATGAAATCAGAATACTGTAAGTATCTGAACTAGCGATATTTTAACATCAATACCGTTGTGGCGAAATTTTTGGTTACACAGTGATGAAAAGAGTCACACTGCTTTAGGTAAAGATGATAAATTCGTGGAGCTGCAAGCCTTTAGACATCGATATAGTTCGATAGCAGGTCATAACCCACAACCACCTATCTAAAATAAAAGTTTCTAGTGTTTTTTTTTGAGTAGGAATGTGCCAGGAAGCATCAGAAAATTCAAGCTAAAACAAATTATTATTCCATGCAGGAAGACTTAAGCGTACCTCAAAATTAACTTAAGTGGCGCAAAGTTATACGTTAGCTCGTCCCTTAGTTTTACTTCAACCTAACCTTTTACTATTTACCATTGTTCCTTTCACTGTTTCTACAAAAAACCCGATAATTTGTGGAACTCTTCAACGTTGATTTTTGTTGACTAACAAAACAGTTCTAACCACTATATGTTTCCCTGAAACAAAACTATACTTTTTGAGCATATTTAGCAGAGAAGAACAGAACCTGTAACAAGTAGCCATAAATTTCAATGGAAACTAAGAATGTATAAGAAATAGTCATAAGTGATGCTATGAGTAAAACTAAATGTTTTTAACTTTTACATTGAATATATATAGACAAAATTGATATGACTGTTAGTACCAAATTATATATAATATCTGATGAGCACGATACATGGATAGCAGATACTAAGTGACAGCATTACATGGACTGTGCAAACGAAAATAATTTAATAACTTTGGGAAAGCACAACATTTCCGAAGAGTACAACCAATCATGTGGTAGTTCGTTGCAACTAGTGCAGGGAATTTTGGGTGGAATCGAAAGAAAATTATGGACGTACGTTACATGCCTGTTGGGAAATTTGACGACAGATGTCTTATTTTAAAATGTTTTAATTATATACAAAAAGGATATTCGTAAAGTTATTAAGATCGTGATTAATCTAATACCGGAAAGAAATACATAGAAGACACATTTATAATAATGCTGGAAAAGATGGAACTTGACAGCATTAAGTAAACTAACTGTGGTATTAGCAAGCAGATTTATTTAGATACTCCCTACCTGAAGGAGTGTTGCAAAACGCTATTCCAATTCAATATTCCAGAGATAACGAGAAAATTACAAATAAAAATCTAAAAACTCACACAATAGCTGATGTTACACTGCTTGATAGGGAAAACAAAAAAAGTACCACACCTGGACCAAGAAGACCAATAGATGACATTAAGCGTCGAACAGTTAGTACAGTGAACTGCCGTTTAGTTAAGTAATTCGCTAGCCGTCCGGCGACTGAAAGGAAAGAATCGGTTTAGCGTAAAAAAACAAAATATCTTTTACGACAGGTGAATTTGAATAAGTAGATGCACTTCAGATTTCTATTAAGGAAATTTACAATTTTGCGTTACGTCCATTTTCTTATGAATAAAGTAAAATAAAGTTGCAGCAGGATCTCCATTGGCTTCTATTCTGAGCCATATCTGATAACGTCTCTAGCCACTGTGTTCCATTATCTCTCAGACCCCAACCAGGGAGTCGTGAAGAACCAACAGAAGCCAGCCCTTTGCAGCTTTCTTTCATACCACAACACAATGTCATACATTGACCACCTCTCTGCTTTTCCCAACCAGTCCCAGCGTTGGCAAATAATGCACGACGTGGAATTCTCTGGGACGACATTCGTAGAACATGTCCAAGCCACCGAAGTCGATGTTTCAAGATAGTGACACCAATTGAATTATCGTCTCTGTGCGCGAACACACGATGCTGAACCTCTGCAGTACTAACATGGTGTTGCCATTGGATGTCAGAAATCTTTCGGAGACAACGATGATTAAACACAAACAGTCATCTAACATCCTCAACTCGGAGAGGCCAGGTTTCACAAACATAGGGCAGAAGTGCTCTCACCGACGCGTTGTAGATCCGACCGTTTACAGCCAGGCTGACATCACGAAGGCACTGAAGTCGGCGAAAATTGGCATAAGCCTCTCTGGCTTTCACTATACGTGCATTGATCTCATCACTCACGCCACCACCAGCACTTATGCAGCTACCCAGATACACGAACTTCTCGACTACTTCTATCTGCTCACAGCCCAGAGTGAGTGCAGAATCAGGGTCCTGGCAGTCTTGTAAAAGTACTTTGCACTTCGAAGGTGAGAAGCACATACCATACCTACAGACATTAATTGCTAACTGTTTAAGTGTGGATTGCATGGCTTGGGTATTATCGCGCGGTAAGACAATATCATCCGCATGCTCAAGGTCGAGAATTCTTTCTTCAGGGAACAGATCCACATCGCCATTACTTACATCCATCAGAAGTGTCTCTAGAACGTCGTCGATAGCAAACTTGAAGAGGAATGTTAAGATTGGGCAACCCTGTCTAACCCCACTGCTTGGATGGAACAATGGAGAAAGGTGGTTGTATGCGCTCACTCTACCTGAGGTGTTTGGATATAGGGCTTTTAAGATGTTAATGAACTTCTCAGGCATACTCTTTTTCAATAGACAATCCAAGAGAACAGTCTCGTCCAACGAATCGGAGGCGGCCTTGATGTCAAGAAACACTACGATTGCTCCTGGAACTACTCTGCCCATCGTACAAGACGTCGTTTGATGTTAGTGATTAACATCCCTTCATCCTCATAAATTGTTTCACTCACACCAGACTTCTTGCTGCCAGTGTCTTGGATGAGTTGAAAGAGCTTCCGGCAGTTATCAGATGCAGCTGTTGCTTCAAACTCATTGGAACGCTCCGACCACCAGACTTCTCGGTCCTGACACAAGCTTTTCCCAATTTCATTACGTAACAGTCGTCGTTTGTAGTCAAACTCACGGTCACCCAGAGTAGACCGACGGGCTTCAGTGAATTGTAAGGAGCCAGGAGAAACCCAGTGCTTACAAGCGGGACGTTGCGCGAAGCCGCAAGCGACTTTACTCGCCATTTTCATGGCGTCATGCAATTGCAGCCAATGTTCATCTATACGTTTCGGTGGATTGCTAGCTAGCCTAGAAGGTAGCTCGGTTTGACATTTAGTTGCAACCAATTTGCTGACATCGATCCGTTTAGGACGATGAGTTTGTTGACCACTGAAAAGTAAGATAAGATTAGCGCAAACAAGTGCATGACCAGAGTCCTGATAGGTAAGGAACCTATAAAAGACTCAATGCTTCTGAGCAGGACGCTTCACGAAGCCAAAAGTGACTTTGCTCTCCATTTTCATAGTGTCATGCAGAGCGGTCATTTCTTATCCATACTTTTCAGTGGGCTAATACCTAGCCTTGAATCATGTTTGGTTTGATATTTAGTTGCAACAGAAGCTGTAACTAGTTTAGTGATAACGAACCGTTTAGGACAATGAGTTTGTCGGCCGCTGAAACGCAAGGTAACATTAGCGCGAACAAGTGCATGATCGGAGTCCAGATAGGTACTGCAAAAGGAGTGACAGTCTTGTACACAACCACGCCAGCGGTAGCTAATCGCGATGTGATCAATCTGAGTCCAGGCTTGAGATGCAGATGGAGGACACCAGGTGGCGCATCGGTGATGACTGTGCTGAAAGTTAGTGCTAGTCAAAAATAGGTTGTGGTCTGCGCACAGTTGCAGTAGACCGTTTTCATTATCTGACCTGCGACTAACAAGTTCCCATCGGTCACCTAAACGACTCTTTTCTGTGCCTGGACGCCCGACCTGGGCATTCACCAAGTCTCCGGTTAGTACTACAATATCTGTCGAACACACTTTCTGTAGAAGAACTGTTTCATTTATTTATTTTAACACATAGATATTGGTACAAGGAGGCACCAAATACATATGCGCCACACAAATCTCATTTGATATGTGCGAGGGCTGTGATACTGCGCGGGTGCCCAAACCGAAGCAGGTGGTTTTCTTGGGGGACCACATCCGGAGCCTTCGACCTGAATTTCTGACCCACAAAGAAGTGGAGCAACGTTAGGAGATGCAGTCCCATGGTAGCCGGTGACCAACGATTGGTTCATACGCCATTTGTTCCTTCAGGATACTGGAACCCATGTTCACTATTAGTTTGAAATCAGGGTTTCCCAACTCCCCTAGAGGGATTCTCCGTGTCAATCAACCCCGTTAAAGCACCAAAAATTCGCTTTTCGTCCTCTCAATTTCGTAAAAACCTCCGCCGCGATGAGGCAGTGGATAGGATTTCCATAGCGTTGGTCGTACGCGTGGCTATATGACAGCATTTCGAGAGAGAGAGAGTGGACTCTCCCCAACATCGGTCGTACCAGGGCATTTAGGGGTAAGGAAGTTCTCATACGTGAAGGCATCCGACCAATCAATCACTGATCTACAATGTGTGGAGAATCGCAAACATCATGAAAGTCACTACAATCAGAGAGTGAAAATCCGAGATAACATAGTTCGAAATCATTCTGAATTCTTTCTTTTTCTCAGAATATTTTGAAAACATTTATTCACGGTTTGGTTTTTAGTTGGTTTTAACCTTTTTTTGTCCTCTAACTATTAATGCAGATGAATTACTGTTTGATACGATTGTAGAAGCTCAACTCACTGTGCAAAACAAGGAAATAGACTTCGATTATCTTAATAAGTTCTGGAAACAATACAAACTGGTGGCACTTAACAGTGACTTCTGTAAACGAGGTTTATTGTCTGATTTAACACGAGGTACATAAATTAAATGCGATTATATCCAGTTAATTGGGACTAGGGATGTTTTCTATAAAACCTAAACGTCAGCATCACTAGTGGAAACGAAAACGTGTTGGTTAGGTAGGTAAGTGATATTAGAATAGGGTAAAACGTAAAACGTATCGATTTTTACGGAGCTCTTCTGTTGCTCGAGAGTGGGTAACGAGAAATATCTGAATCGCTTTACTTGTTTTTGATGTACATAAAACCAAATAAAGCTACTTGGTCGGCATATCTAGACGAGTGAACAATTAGTTAATGGTCATCTGACATCAATAGCAGATAGAATTTCAAAGTTTACTTCGTATTTCGAAAAATCCGACAAGTAATTAAAACCCATGAGACAGGAAGATATGTAGTACTTTAGGAGTAAATTTCAGACCTCTGACTCTTAAAACGAGTAGGAGAGTATATGAGGAAGTTCCACACTAAACGTTTACTAATATGTTAACGTGATTTAGAAATACGGAATTCATCCCCAACCTCTCTTGAATCGCACGTTATGAAGTGTCCAAGCATGTATGACGAAAAAATTCATAGATACTAAGAAAGTCTACATATTAGTTAAAAATGTAAACTTACTAACACTCCCAATACAATTACATATATAAGGTATAGCTGTTAGCATTATGGCATATTCAGTAGCTCCCAAATAACGGACTAAGTAGGTCGGTAACCATAGCATTACAATATAATTTGACCAGTTCATACTGAAATGAGCAATGTAAATTGCCCATAATGGCCAGTGTGAAACGAATTCAGTCCAACGAAGAGACGGTTTGGAAGGCTTCATTTGAAAAATCAGCAGAGAAATTTATAATAAGATAAACAAAGTTAATCTTATTGAAACGGCATTATAACAGGGTTTAAGTAAATTCAAACTAACAAAATATCCAAAATCACGAGTTGATTTGTCATATGGTGACATCAGCCTTAGTACTAAATTGTATGACCTTGGGACACACTATTCAACCTTGGGTGATCTGATGTCATCAATGGGTTGACTCAGTTTCCAATTCGGTTTGTTAGTACCTATCAACAAATCATCTTTACAAATATACTTATCAGCATAATATGACCAAATAAACAACTCCTGTAATTTTTTTATCAATAATAACTGACACAGAAGTGCAGGGTATTTTAGGCGACGATTTCAATAGAAGCAAAAGTATCTTCAAGGTTGTAGATGACTGATGACTGCCGAACAGCATGAAAAGTGGATCAAAAAGATCCTAGCTGGTTAATTTAAAATATTTAACGTAAGATAATATACAAAAATCTGGTCATTATTCGAAATTCATCAAATTTTCAAAAGCCGTTCTATGTTTTTCAACAATGATTGGTCACATAGTATGCAAGTTTATTCAGTGTAATTATTTTGTACATGAAGAATTGCCTCATTTAGTTAAACTCAAGAACAGAACAATCAAGAATAAATGGTTCAGTAATTTCGGTTGTCGATCATTTGGAAATCGTTAGTTAATGTAAATAAATTTAGTCTTATGAGCCGTTAACAATCAGTTAGATCATATAACCAATTACTGACATTCGGTCGATTCAACAGTCGGAGCGTACTTAAAAATGCCATAACCGTTTTTATAACAACAATATTAGTAATTTTGATAGAAACTTTGTAGTAAAGTATTTTTATTTTACTAGCCGTATAAACACTCATCCATCTATTTAATGATATACCTATTCTTATTGACGCGTTTATATCAAATGTGATTGTAAACTAACTAATAATTGGGAAATATATTCGAATCCTCTAACACACAATGGACATTTCGACTTATTAAATTCATAGATGAGCACAAAAACCTGTGCACAATAATAATAATAATAATAATAATAATAATAATAATAATAATAATAAAGAAACAATACGGACACTCAACAGAAATAATTGAACATAAGACCACGATTTCGTGTCGTGGCTGGATCGGGTTAAAATTTAATTTACGATTGCTAGGTAGTTTAAGGAAAAGGTAATGAAAGTCATAACATATTTCTATGTTCTATACACAAATATACATATGTATACCAAGGGTGGACATAAAAAGAAAGGTTGGTGTTAATCCTGAAATAGAATCAGTCTTTAAAATCTAAATATCGATTTAAAGAGGATTAAAAACCAACAATAATGACACAAATCCGGACATCAGATCAACAACATAAGGGTCGATAGCTGCGTTGTAAACAAGAAAAGCAGGGAAAAACTTAGAGCTGCTGTACTCTACTAGTTAGACAATGAGATTTGTCTCAGTACAGGACAATTATTTAAGGGGATAACTATAGACAGAAAATATTGGGAAGACGTTAAATCAGAAGCATCAGATTTAACGATTATCAGATATGAGGAATACATGATTACAGTATGCCAGTTGATGGGATCTCACGATTATTAAATTTAACCATAAACATACACTAGTTGAATAATTTCAAGGGCTATTAGGGAGGACTGAGAACACTAACGTACTTACAACTCGATAGTTCACGAGTAAATTAACACTGGTTAGTAACTGGAAACCATTAAATGACTGTAAAGCCTCATATAACACTACTTTTAGATAGATGACTGAATTTCAAGAGTGAAATGAAATTCACGATAAATCCAGAATGTTATAAGTTATCTGAAGATAAAAACTATTTGTAGTGAGTTCAAATAAAAACTCTTCAAACATTATCAAAAGACAATGAATTCATGAAAAAGGGGTTCCCACACTATGGAATATGCTTTCCTCATTCTCATAACTTTCCTCTATTTAGAGAGCTGACCCAAGTAATGAATAATTCAGTTAGTCCCCTAGATTGAAAGCATTTATTTTTTTTGAGTAACTTATTTAATCAGTGAAACAAAGGCTAAAAGGATTGATATGAATCAAGGTTCGTGCAGTAGCGAAAAGTTTCTTCCCATCAATATTTCCTCCTTTATTTTAACATGTATTTGTGAAATGAAATAGCTGATTGTGACAAGCACTCCCTTTGAGTCATTGACTTGAAATTATATTTACATGTTAGCTGGTGCTGTGAAAAAGTTTGTACCATAAAGTTATCGGAATATTCATCTTTGATTTAGAATGTGAGTTTGTTCACTACTTTATGTGCATTTGAAGGGCTAGGTCTTAAAAACATTTTCCGTTAAATTCACATACTCATATTTAGTTTCAGTAACTTAAGGTCTCATGAAATAGATTAACTTGGCATTTATTTCCCAAGGACCTCAATACGCTAATAAAAACGAACGATATAAAGGTCTTTTTATCTGATTCCGATAATTGTCGAACTAGTTTACAGCTGTCTAAACTAACTACAAAAATCTTCCAGGTGTATCCACGAATTATTAACGCACAGATAGATCGAGTTTACAGAAAAAAGAGGTAATCTGGAGACAATGAGTCTTCTGTGGAATTAACTTAGTAGCGATAGATGAAAATATACTTATCTATTGGGTTTTTATCAGTTTGACAACGTATATGATATAATCTGCACCTTTTCCGAGTCGATAACCGAAGGGAAAAAATAGAGGAGTTAAAACTTACCTGAGATTGTTGAGCAGGCAACTCAATTCGTGACTCAGCTCTTCTAACAACGTTAAAGACGGGGATCCAGAAACAAATCCACACAAGACCAATAAAACCAAATATGAAAAACGAATGAGACCAAATTAAATGAGGGCAAACCAAGGTAGCTACTGTTTGACCAACAGCACCAAATGTGACCATATAACTGAAAGATCGACTGCGTTCTTCAACAGGCACAACATAAGAAAATATGTGGAATACCGTAGGAAGACCTATATTAGACGACGAAAAACAAATATTGTGACTACACGGGACATTACTAAGTAAGCATATATTACATATCAATATATTGCAATAACTTAGGCTTTCAAATGAACTTTTGATTAAGGTGAATGAGAAACTATTCATTTTAGATGATGAGATCGATTTGCTACAACGACATACCAGATAAGCTCTAGAGAAATTTTTCTTCTAATAAAAGGTATTTGACATACAAAGCAACCAATAATAATAGTAAGAAATGATGGGTAAACAGTTCCAGGTAGAGTTATACCACAGGATATCGAACGTCAGGCTTTGAAATATTTTGTAATAACACTCATTGTGTGCAGGTAATTTGACTTTTCAGCACAATATAATTTATTGTTTGTTATGAACCTGTTTGGTCTAGCTGAAGATTGGTACATAGTAAAAGAAGTAAGAATTTTTTAAGAATCAAATGTATTCTACAATACCATGTTATTGAGTTGTATATAAACATGACGTTGAAAACCCTATCCTGTGGTAGAAATTTCAGATCACTTATCCTTCAAAAAATATATTCCAAATGATGGAAGCAACAATACTTTTACATACCATAAAGAATCTCTTAACAGAATGAGATTGGGAATATGCATAACTCTGCCTGACGCTAATAGGATTGCTTTGTGGGTAGGATACAAGCGATAACTGTTTATAATTAATGATTTATTCAACTAATCCTTTCGTAACTGATTTCTCCAAATCAAATATGTTAAGCTATAGAACATCATTTAGATCTTTTAACAACCAAATTTTCATTCAGATTTGAGTTTTGATTATGATTTTCAATTTTAGATCGACAAAATATCTTTCTTACCTATTCCTTCTCTTAAGCCAAGTAGTATACGCACAGTTATCAAAGAGCGAATAGAGTGAGCAAAGAATGGAGTGAGGAGGGATGACAATGACCAGAATGCGATGGCACAACTAAGGATCAGACCTCCACCATATCGTCTTGCTGCTCTTTCACCTATAATCTAGTTTAAATTAAAAGCAAAGAACTGGTAGTGCTTACCATACTTCCAAGATAGCCTACAGAAAACGAACTCAGAACTAATCCATATTGGTGAAGATTCCAGCCAAAGTGATTCGATATGGGAATTATAACAATAGGCATGATAACTCGATCAGCTGCGTTAATGAAGTTCGCCAAACAACAAAGGAAAACTATCTTCCAAACATAACTTGGCTCGTTAAGCCACTTGAATACGTTGTATGTGGGTAGAAAGTTGAGGCAATTCAAGTAATACATGTTTCTACTTGTATGTATAATTTTTATACAGTTGTTAATATATAAATACTAAGGATTCACTGCATTTGAAAATCAGACACTATAGATCATGTTTTAGGAGCTGAGGAAAAATGAAAAGGATTTAGTAAAAAAGATGATTGATGAATTAGAGCACGAAATGAAAGACTTATATGATAGTCGGACTCTAAATAGTTGGTGGTGGAAAAAAACTGCAGGTGTTGTAGATTACTTTCTAAAATAATTAAGTGCAATTGTTAATTTTGGTTTCTATTAGTACGTTAACAAATACTGGTTTCACACTAGTGAGAAATCAGTCAATCACAAGAAACGTAGAATGCACCACATATGTGCATCGGTTCCAGTTGCGTCACAATATCGACACAGAGACCGAGTTATCAAGACAAATTCCATAGTAAAAGCATTAGTAGAGTGAGTGACAGTACAAAAAATTCGGCATAGGAAATATGATTTGAGACGAAATGTTGAATTTGCGTGGTGAGAAGCTTGAGATAATTTTGAAACTGAAGACCCACGGGAAGACAAAGTAAATGAATCTGTGCCGGAGTACCGATCCTGAACCATTTCACTTATCATATCCAGACATTGTTTACAATGATTGGAGATTCCCAACAAAGTAACTTGCATTTACCGACGGTCATTAACTTCGTGAAATGATGACATTTCTTGATTTGGTTGCCTCTACCTTTCTTTTCCCCTACTGTAACACCACCAAAAATTACGTGTCTAGTTAGGTCGGACATACATTACCTCGATCGATGGAGATTCACTACTTTATCAATCATTACGTAATAACCAGAGTCCAACCTTATTGCTGCTCAGCGAAAGATCCCAACATACATTAGCAAAGCTTTGAAGGTATCACACGAATATATCTTCCGAGACAACAACTCACAGCCATAAATTAGAACAGAACAAAATGATGCGCAGTATACTCAACCTTTAGTTATTGAACGGGGATCTCACGTCTAGGTGATGCAAGCTGGCAAAGGCCAAATGAAATTTCTGAATCCATGTTGGTATTTCATTAGGTACTAACACACTAGGGCTCGAAGGTCTCATCTATTGGATACTTCTAAGAGTTTTGGATTGCTATACGGCTATCCACTTCTCATCTTCTACGTAGGTGAAACAAAAAGTAATAATTTGGTTTAAAGGCTACGTATGGAATGTTGTAAAAGAGTAATATATACTTTCTAACTTCTACTAATAGCCACAAAAGTAAATTCATGGACTGATGATTGTGGATCAAAAGCTTAAAACTGAATAACTAATTACCATATAATCCAGCTCACCATTATCTGAGACGAAATACATCAACCATCGACTACACTCGTGAACTACATTGGGTCGGCGACGGCCAAAATCGGTAAGGTCAAAATATGTCACCAACTGATCCGAGCCATATGAAAGAATACACATATTTGATACTTTCATAGTAACTGATATCAGTGATTAAAGACTACATGATATGAATCCATAAATTGCAAAGGCATATTACTTCCAAGTTTTGCCTTTTAAGTTGATGTTACTATTGTCGCACAACAGAGAGCAATAATTTCTCAAATTTCTACGTTGTTTACCCGAATTTCAAAGTTTTACTGATGAATTATGGGAGTTAGAGTACAGGCAATATTTTAAGCTTCATAAAACTTTACAAGTGTTTAGGAAGGCATTTTAATTGAATATCAAAACTTAGAGGTTGAAAAGATACGTATTATAAGCCAGTTAAGCTGTTGAGGATTAGCTTCTACAGCTATGAGATCATAGCACATCCTCAGCCTACATAAACCTCTAACTTTCAAAAGTGTACAGCCACTGCCAGGGAAGTTCTATTCACTCCCTTATCGAGGCGGGTGTTGTTTATAAAATTGAGAGGACGAAAAGCGAATGTCCGGTATTTTAACCGGGTCGGTGGACCCACCTAGGGAGTTGGAAAACCCTGATTTCAAACCAATGGTGCATATGGGTTCTAATATCCTGAGGGAACAAGCGGCAAATGAACTCATTGTTGGTCACCGGCTACCATGGGACTGCATCTCCTAATGTTGCTCCACTGCCTTGTGGATTAGACCTTTAAGTCAAAGGTTCGGGGTGAGGCTCCTTGAAAAGACCACCTGCTTCGGTCTAGGCGCCCGGTTAGTATTCCATCTCTCACACAAATCAATGATAACTATTACTAGCCTAGAACGATCCTAAAATAGACAAGAGCACGTGTTTGCTTCACCATCAGAGATGCTTCCATATGACGCAATATGTTGTTCCTTACTGTGAGAGGTCCTAGGAGCTTAAACCAAGTTAAGAGCAAGCACTGCTTAAAAACCAGTTCTGTGCATATGTGGACAATTTTTAAAGGGATAAACGGCATGAAAACCTGCTGTAGTCAAGGTTTAAGGGGATACATTTCCTTAAAATACTCAATGTATCAGCAACTCCGTGGGCCACCTTGCAAGGATGAGGTTGGTGTGCCGTGAAAACATACAACAAATAACTAGTTGATACTTGATCAAGAAAGTTTGCGGTCAAATTTAAAACCATTGGTCGTTTCATTAATAAGCCTAGTATGCACTCAACGGGATTAATTAACCTAGACATAGAGAAAATGTAAAATGGATTTAATTGACCAAGAGTGTTGTAGTTTTACATACGCTTCATTTGATCATGAAAACTATGCGAGAACTTTAAGAAAAAAACTCAGAGTTGGCCCGGTAGCAGCTAATGTTTCCCACTTTCCTTATAAATAACGTGAGAACTACATTTTCAACGCTACAAAGAGTACATGTATGTGTAGTCATATATGGGAGTTTTAAAAATTTTACTATTATACATCACTTATTTTAAGAATGAGTAGTTCTTTTGAAATTTATGGGGCTTACAGGACTACGAGCATTAATATAAGTGTTGAATTTTGTAATAATATAAGAACGAGATCAATTATTTCAAACACTCAAATGGTAAACAAAGTTTAATCTAAGATATCAAGGAGAATGCGTGGCGAACGACCTAGAACCTCAAAACGGCGGACAGGTTGATGACAAGTGTGTAAATCTTCAACTTACAATAATTTTACATTAAAGAAAATTGAAAAAAACCCGTTTAAAATAACTAGAAATAATGATTTCAACATTTGTTATTGATCCTTATGGAGTACCTGGTGACAAGATAAGAAGTATATTGGACTGAGTGAACTCAGTCTCCGATGATATGTTCTTTCAGGAGCCTAGCTTTCTTTGTATTTTAATAAAACTTTATCAGACATTCACCTTAGCTCCAAAATACTATCTAAGATCACTCCAAACCATGATCTTTCAGTTCGTCTACTGGAACGGATTGAATTCTAGTCCGATTACACTTGCTCTTTGAGAACAGAAAACAGTACACTGCGTTAGTCCTTCCGCACTATCCTTACTTTTTGCGTATTAGCCTCACGAGCGAGCTAAAAGAAGGCCTAGAAACCACCCCTCACCCCACTCGTTCTGATCATACATTATTCTGATTACTAGCTCAATATAGAGATTCTGTTCTTTCCTTACTTTTGAACTTGTTTATTGTGTCACCTGAGATTTTCTGACCTAGATTAGATGACAGAGTAAGATATGTCAGTTCTGAGGCCAATTTTGAGAACCATGTTGATTTCGGTTAGCTCAACTGTCAAACTGCAACAACTTAGTGAGAAATGGTTCAGTTTATCAATCCACCAGTTGTAATCCGAGCTACTATGCTGTAGATAATCAAAACTTTGAACTTTTTTGAGCAGAAACATTAGGCTCTTTACTCCTTGGGATGTGTATCTAGTCTGGAAGAGAGATTTCTTGACTACGAAGAGGTATAGTTTATGATTCACCAACGTAGAAACCATAAAGAATGAGAACACTGTTTAGTGGTAAAAAATATGATGACAGAATTACACCAAAGTAAGTCTTCAGCAGTAAAGTCATGACTAAGGTGAACATCTAAATTCCCATGAAGAGACCAGCAGGAGATGCTGTAAGCCTAGACACAGTCTCAAGAATCTAAGCAAAAAGATACTGTTTGCACCTTATTTGTTTAAGTTAAATTCCGTCTGTTCAACGTCCATTACTTTAGTAGGATTGGAGCGTACTATACTGGAAGTAGAACTGGAGCGATATTGTGGTGTTTGAACGAACTAATAATACCTTTGTACTTGTTGAATGCTCGATTGTGAATTCCAAATACAATACATTCGTTTGTGTTTGTGTCTCACTTCTTAATTGAATTGCGTTAATCATGGAATTCCTAGTTAATGCAATAATTTGAATACTATATTGGCGTCGCGATGGAGCCTGTAATGGAAAAGTTAGATATTCATTCAAATTCGGAAGCTTTTGAAGATTACTTTGAAAGGTTCGGAATCTGGGCAGTGAACAAGGAAGATGATGAGGATGTTAATATTGTGGCACACTTCCTCACATTCATTGGAAAAGAAGCATACAGCTTATTAAGAACTCTGACTATGCCGGAAAAGCCCATTTCGCTTCCTTATACAACACTCAAGGTACTGCTGCTAGACTATGTTAATTATACGAATTTCAAATGCGGTAAAGGAGGAAGATCTCATAAAATGACTCATGAGGATATAAAAAATTCTACTACATTACTACGTCATCCTGACCTAGTGCATACTCAGGGTTATGCAGATAATTCATTGAGGAGTTGCGATGCAGTTCACGAGGATGGGCACAAGTTTGGTCAATGTTTGTTCTGTGGCAAGTTCCACTCTTTTAATTCATGTAAATTTCGTAATTCTAAATGCCTTAAGTGTGGTGATATTGGACATATTCAGTCAGTCTGTAATGCTAATGTTCACCTTACTGCAACTAATATTAAGTCTTGTAATTCTGATTCTACTGAGTCGAGTATTTATGATGATCATTTATCTTTATCAACGATTTCAAAAGACAGTGCAGAGTCATATGGCAGTTCAGAGTTAAATGAAATCCAGAATTCTTGTGAGACAACAGTTCCTAGTCAACCGATTTATCAGAATTCTCATGCTATTGAAGCAGGTACGACTTTTCCTAATGATTCACATATTTCTAATGAAATTACTTGCAATTCTGAGGAAAATATGTTAAATGAACCTAATCATGATCGGAAACCTGATGTGGTTTGGATAGATGCTGATTTTTCTAACGATCCTACGCTCTTCAATGACAGTCCTAATGAATTTCATGAGAATATTTCAGAAGAATGAAATCCTGATGTCATATCACATATTACCTATCCTCATAATGCATTTGATCCTTGTGAAAAACCTGCTCAATGCGAAGCAAGAGTACTAAGTGACCTCGAGTTTGATTACATTTCGGATGATTTCATATCAACTGCTGTTTACCCTTATCACAAAAACAGTTCTAATGTTTACTCTAAACAATGTGAGAAATATGTTTTAAATGAAGCCACATTATTCATAACTTGGAGATATAAAGATCCAACATAATTTCGTGGGGGAGGATAGTGTTGAAAAATCTATGGTTCGAATTCTAGATATTAATGATTTCATTACAAAATCGACATGCTGATTGTATACAATTTCAGGACCCAGGTGAGTCTGTTCCGATTTCAGTTGTTAATTCTAATACTAATGAGCACTTTCTAGATACTACAAAGTTTTTATCTTATACAAAGTCGGACAGACTCAGGATGAACTTAACAAGAAGACGTACAACTGATTACAAACGCTTATACTTCTATTTAAGCTGTGGCGGATGTGGTGTTTGAACGAACTAATAATACCTTTGTACTTGTCGAATGCTCGATTGAGAATTCCAAATACAATACATTCGTTTGTGTTTGTGTCTCACTTCTTAATTGAATTGCGTTAATCCTGGAATTCCTAGTTCATACGACAATTAGAATACCATAGATATGTGGCAGAAATTCGATACTTACTCGTTGATTAGTTTCTCATAGGGTATTTATATAGTTTGTACAACATAGCAGTAACTTGAACCAGCTGAATGCTTATAGTCGTTAGGTCGAAGACAAGGGAATCGGTGTGTAAGTGGTCGTTTTAAACAGGTCACCAGATGAGGTTTTCTGAGCTGGCCGTTTGACTCTGATGAAACTAAGCATCATAACGATAGAAAATTCAGTGAGTTTTCTACATTCATTCGTTTCGAGATTTCGTATTTATTCTATGTAATGCAGATATACTGACTTAGGAGAACCGCCCACGCACTAAGCGTATTACTTGAGGACGTTGATTAGTACAAGAATTTCTTTATCCAGTACATAGCTGATGAAAGAAAAGATCGAGAAACATGGAATAAACATATAAATTTACGTAGGAATTAGGGGTCTACTTGATTTAATATGTTGTACTGATGCAAATCATGAAAACCGTTAAAGTTTGGCTGATCCTAAAATAATATCTGGTTTCAAGACTGAAGCCATACTTCGTCAAAATTTTTCGGCTGTTGTCGCAGTTCTGAAAATACTGAAAGTCGCTTATCTCAGACTAACAACAAAACAAACTAAACTTGATACGCGACTGGTTGTACGAATACAGGTGTTCAATTCAACAATAAGATGTCATACAAGGGATAACTGTCAGTCTGTAATGTTTGTTAATGTTGGGAAGAGTTTTCAAAGCTATTGGACTCAATCTCTTTGCTATCTTCAAGCTGATAACGAAACTACGGCTGCTTTATAGACTTGAACCATTTCCAAACCCTCAAAGTTATCAACAATTCAGATATTGGACAAACATTAACATCTGATAATATGATGCACGATGTAAATAGGCTGAGAGTTTACAAATTTAATCTTCTGTATAAAATATTCAAGTCTCTGGGTTCTAAACAACTGCTTTTCCGTAGGTTCGTAAAGCGGATGAATGTTTCGCTGGTGAAACACCTAGATGTAGTAACTGTGAGCTAACTAAAGATGGAGAATGTAGTGAAAATTGTATTCGAGACAGTGGGGCAGGCATTTAAGTTCGCCAAACCCAGAAACCACTAGAATCTCAAACAACACTTGAATCACGTCAAGCTGCAAGAGACACAATAAGGCATATAGACCTTGTAAATAAGGTACGTATGCAAATCTGATAATCATGTTTATCTGACTCCATAGATGTCTGTGACGTTTGGGGTTGATCCTCTGTATCTAAAACAATCTTGAGTGCGTTTGCGCTACGCCGGCTTTCCAGGCGGCAGTTAGAAGAATACTGCAGACTTTTAAAAGTGCAATATTTTCACTTCCCCTTCTAAACACTTTTAAAGTCTGGGATCAACTAAGTCTGCAACTACCTGGTCAATTATAGTTGACGCCCTATTGTTCAGGTTGCTTCTTCATGACACTCCTCGGTTTTGCATACTTTCATTGAACATCTAACTTTCAATAAAACTACTCATCATGAGTATCTTATGTTTCCCCTGACGTCGGGAAATTTTACTTATCACAGAAACGTAGTGTAACCCACATATATCTGAGTTGACTTCAACTGTGAACAACAGTGTTTCTTTCCGATCCGACCGACAGTACTATCTAAAAGAAAAGAAAATTAATAATCCTGTAGAAAGCAACAAGAACAAGCGGCACAGAATAATATTGTTTCATCTTATTTTGCTAAGTTCTCATCAGCTGCTTACAACACTACAATATTTTGAAACCAAAGTTATCATAGATATCGACATACTTATAGACGCAAAGGTGATTAGAGATGAATATGTGTATTTTGATATAGCAAAGATTGTAAAAGAGTTATTAAGGCCACAAAAAGTTCCATTTCAGATAAATTAAGTGTGGAAGGAAAGGTTCCACAACATCGAGCTAGCAATTAGAAATCACATACTTAATAGGCATTAGATAAATGTGGAATGAAGCAACTGAAAACAGATTAATGATGGTGAGGAAAGATGTGATTTGAAGTCAACCAATTAGAATAGAAATAAGTCAAAGAAAAAAGATACGATCAAAGCTTGAGAAAGAGTTGAAATAACCAATGATGCAAAAAGGATGTAATGTAACCAGGGTAAAGATTGAATTGCTACTGTTTGTTTTTGGAC